ACCTCTAGCAGCCCAGCCAATACAAATGCCAAGGAAAGAAGAAAGGACGCTGGGCCCACTGAAAATGCGCGCATCCACCCTCCTTGTGCAACCAGCACGAGCGCCCCCGCGACTGCCTCGGCAGGCACGCGGTTGCATCAGGGGCACAAGAAAACTATATACACATGTGCACGCCGCAGCTGTGAAATGTTGCAGCGACGGGGCAGGGAGGTGCAGGTTGCCCTGTGGAGTGGGGGACACCAAATGGCCCCGGCCTGATGGAAACCATCGCCGCCGAACTGCTTGCTTGCGGTGTGTTGCAGCGCAATCTTTGAGAAACTTCCTTGGGGCCACCTTTCCATCACGACGCCGCCGCGGCCACTGCTCCCGCTCAAGCCATGAGCAGCTTGCGGGTGCGGGTCTTGACCTTGAGTGTGTAGTAGATCGCCAGGCGCAGCACCACCAGCATGGCGATCAGTATAACGGCGTCCGGCCTATTGGGGAGCAGGCAAAATGGAAAATTGAAGGGATGGGTGACGAGCTGAGCAGGGAAGAAACAGGAGCAACGCCGGGTAGCAGATGGCGGGAACAGTCAATACCACATTATATGTATATATGACCCGGACGGCCATGCACAACACATGTCCGCTTGATGCCATCAGGCTCAAAAAACTGGGCTCTCCCAAGCTCACCAGGCGGGTGCTTGGGGGTCGGCAGGCAGGCCCAGGGTCGTCTGCACGTCGGCTGCAAAATGGTGTGGGAGGGTGGGGGCCAAGAGCATCAGCACAAGAAAACCTCAGCATGAATTTTTCCAGCGCGCAGCTAATGATGCTGAATTGCTGATGCGACTCACACGCACAACATCGTTGCATTGCCATGATGCTACCTGACCGATTGTGCGATCAGCCACGGTTTTCCAAGGAGCAAAAAGCACTTCAACCTCAGCACCTGCGAGGAAGCTGCTCTCACCAATGGGCGAGCACCCGGGGATGGCGCGGAGGTCGTCTGGGGTGTAGCCGCGGCTGGAGGAGGAGGTGACCTCGCCGCCGCAATCAAAGATCTCGTAGCGCCTGAGGGGTCAGGGCCAGAGGGGAGGGGGCGAGGGATTAGGACTGTCGGAGCGGGCTGATGGAAGAGGGCGACGAGAGGCGCGGCATGGCAAGGTCGCAGTCCATGCGGATCCAATGGTGCGAACCAGGCAGTATTCTGCAAAGACGCAGAACAGTCCGCGAGCCTGCGGCCTGTGGTGCGAGGTGGTGCTTCGCAGCAGCGCGGTCACATCCAGCCCGGCCTGCCGGGGCACCACAGCGCCACACGCCACACGCTCCCCACAAACAAAAGTGGACGACAAAACCAGACAAAACCATGCCTGACTTGATACTGGGCCTGGCGTGACTGCGCCCGGTGCAACTGGGCCCGGCGTGACCGCTCCAATGCAACTGGCCCGGGTGTTGTTGGGCGGGGGTCAGGCGGGGGCCGGCGCGGCAGGGCGAGGCTGCGAACCTGAACTGGATCTTGGTGAGAATGTTGAAGCCCCAGTAGAGGAACGAGATGTAGCGCACCCAGCTGATGAAGACCGGGATGGAGCGCGCGTAGTAGCCACCCACCAGCAGGAACGTCAGCATGATGACTGAGGCGGCGGGCGAGGAGGGCGAGTGCGAGAGAGGGGATTATGATGGGGGGACCGAGAGGAGAGGGGGGGAGGGCCTGAAAGGGGGGAGGGTGATGCTTGGGGTTGGTAACTCGCAAAATTGCAGATGGCATCAAAAGTCCAGCCGAGCCAAGTCAAGAGCTGCCGACAGCAGCAGCTGCAACCATGATGCATTTTCCATGATATGATTTTGCGCGACAGGCAGCCACACGAGCAGGGAGCCCGGTGCCCTGCACGCGGGGTGTCCAGCAGGGCTCTTCCACAGGCGTTTCGCCCCGCCAAGGCGCACCCGTCGTGGCGGTCTGGGCCTTCTTTGGCTGCATGAAGATGCCGCCCAGCAGCAGGCCCCAGGCCTCAGCCACCATCACCACCAGGATCATGGTGCCCAGGTTGGCAAAGAAGTCGGCCGCGTTGCGGTTCAGGCCGCCAAACCTGGGCGGACCGGGGCATGCCAGGGTGGGAATCAGGTCGAGAAAGAAGTGACTTCCTCAAAATCGAAGGTTGAGCGGCCGGCGCAGCAGTACCTCAATGCAACAAAACACAGGCGACATGCAGATGCCGCGGCACAGTCCGTGCACGGGGGCGCCGAGACTCCGCCGCGAGCGCGGGGGCGCCAGTTCAGGCTGTGTGTGCAGGGCAGGGTGGTGCGAGGGGTGGGGGGCGGGGTTGTTGCCTCACCAGTACGCGATGAGCACGAACAACACCTGCATGTGTGTGTGGGGGGAAGCGGACACACGTCGTTTGTTTGAGGTGCCAGCCAGCAATTAAGGAGACAGGCGGCTTTGTGCGAGGGTTGCCGTTGTCAGGCGAGCAGAGGGCAAGCGCGGGCGAGGGAGCAAGGGCTGGCCAGAAGCAGCCAAGGACCCGGATTGGTGAGTCGTGGACTCATGCCTTGGAGGCAGCGTGATGGCCGTACAAGGTCTTCACGCCACATCCAGCGCGCATGAGTGCGAGTGACAACACCAAAAAAAATCCCTTCAGAACCCAACAACGACCACCCTATGTCAAGCAGTGTTTCTGCTCCCAAATACAGGCGCTCACACACGCTCACACACGCACGCGCGCGCGCACACACACACACACACACACACACACACACACACACACAC